TATCGTATCCTGCCGTTGGATCTTATACTCACCCGTATAGCTTGTTCACTCACTGCAGACACCTCCAGCTGATGCTCGAACATCCCCAACATCCACAGTCATTAAGGAAGCTCCTGCTGAGGAACCCGCTAAATCATCGTCGCGGACGAGAATTCCATGGTAAGCAACTCCATTTTGTTCACCATCATTGCCATTATCATTCCACTGACAGTTGCCACTTGTAATCCACCACTCCCCCAGTCATCGACATGACGGCTGAGGATCCAAACCCCTTCGATGATTCGGACGCTGACTCGGATTCACCCTCGGTTCTTTTGCTAGCGACAGAGTCGCGACCTAGTTCCATGGTACATTTTACGTAGCATCGTTTCATTTCCGCCTGGCTGGCATTCAATCATTCAGGCGACCATTCCACCACCCGCAAATCTTCCCACAGCGACTCCCTTTGCTTCACCTCCTCTAAGCTAGGAGAAAATTTGTGAAGTCCTGAACCCGTCGTCGTAGTACACCTCTGCCAGGCGATGGATGGGCGGCTTGCAGATATGCTTCGCTTATATGCCACGCTCCACTGGGGGCTAAACGTCCGTGGACGCACGACGTTCAAGCGAAGACTGGACGCTGCGCGATCGTTTGAATATGCTTTGATGTGCAGCGAGCCCATTCCTCCTGATGCTCTGACTGTGGTCGGATGAGGGCTGGCTGAAGCTAAAACGTCGCTCAAGTCTACGGAAGCTACTCGCGCTACGATGGAAACAAACCCTGCTTCGACTAGTGTGCTCGTTCCAACGCCGAGACGTGGTCCAAGCAATTCTCAGCCGATCGTGATGCAGCTTGGAAGGAAGTCAAGATAGTCAAGTATGGCGAGGCTGCGCTGAATACCCACATCAACGACATGAACGCCGTCATCATGGGGCACCATAAGATGTTTGACCGCCTCGACAATTGACTGCAGTTGCGCACTGTAGCAACGAGATTCTGACCAAGGAGGTAAATCACGCTCGCTCCTACTATCTTGTTGGGGTCCAAGCTTTCAAGAAGTCACACGACAATCTCCACAAGTTGTTGTCATTCTCACCGATCCCAGTGAGATGACACTCACACTCAAGATCCGCGAGCGCAACCGAGATCTGGTGCGTCAGGTCAAGCGCCTTGAGAAGGCCAACACGGCTCTCGGCTTGCGCCTTCGACTCGAAGATATGGACTCTGAGGCTCTAGGTCTCATGGTCGAAGATGATTTCCAGTTTCGTAGGTGTTCATCTGTCTCTTTACTGACCGATCGTTGATCGTTCCCTTGTCACGCAGGCCTGGAACTCGACAAGATCGACTGGAAAAACATGTCTCCAAACTCTCAGACTCGACGCGCTCTTTAGGCGGTCTACAAACTTGGGTTGTCGGATGGTCGAGACAAGGGTTCGCTCGCCAACGACATCGCTCGGGCGAAGATTCGTTTTGCGGATCCTCGTGCTGAAAAGCAGCGCAAATCTGAGAAAGCAGCTGCAGCGGCAGGTCAGCCTGCTCCTCCACCGCTTACACTTCCTATGCGCAGGCCATCTGCTCCTCCTGCTGCTCCAGATTCAAGCACCACGCCACCGATTTCCAGTTCAGCTTCAAGTATCGTGTAGTCATCGGTGGCGCCTACGTCCTCGCCATCCCCTTCGCGTTCATGCGGGCTGGTCCCCCGCTCGTCGTTACTGGCACGGAGCTTGGTTTGAGTTCTGCGTCGTCCGCATCCCAGTCTGGTGAGCTCAAGTCGTCGACTGTTCCTCCACGTCATTCGTCGCCTGTCTCGACACCTCCCGCTCCACCAGCTTCCAGCGGGAAGACCAATCGAAGGCGCAACGCTAGCGATGACGAGGATGTGGATTTCGGCGGTGGTGACTCTGGTGAGGACGTTCTCGGAGAGGGCCGTGAGTGTTCGGCAATTCCCTCTCCAAAGACAACTTCCCAACCACTGCCGAAGAAGCAGAAGGCTTCTCTATTTCTGCCACTCCTCCAGCTCCTGCGAAGAAGACCCAGCCTTCGCCCAAGTCATTGTCGAGTAATTCGAGTGCTTCTGCAGCAACTCGCGGCAAGTCTGGCTCGGTTCCCAAGAAGCTAGATGTGGAGATGTCTGATGTGGAGTCGATGTCGAGTCCTCGTCTCACCCCAAAGCGCAAAGCTGCGGTGAGTTATGAGTTCCGGTCACCTTTTCGCTTGGCTGGAGGTTCTCGCTCGGACATCAAGTCCCTTGCTACAGAGACGTCGACTGACAAGTCGACCAAGACTCCTTCCTCCAAGACCAAGAAATCTCGCTCCAAAAAGACTGCTACCAAGCCCGCACCTGGATACTTGTCGTCAGATGAATTCGTCATTTCGGTTTCGTTTTCATCTGAGTATGAGTCCAGTTCTGACTCCGATTTCTCGGCTTGGGAAGGCTCTGCAGCTCAAGAGGATGAAGATAACGAGTTGTCCAAGCTCCGACCGGAGCCTCAGTGTCTTGAGGATTCCCTCGACGATATTCTCGATACCCCAGTTTCTCAAGATCCGTCAACCAAAACTTTCCGTGCTTCAGAGAAGACTTCTCCCAAATCCAAGGCCAGGTATCTTCCGGTCGCAAAGGCTGACGTCAAGCCATCGCCCAAGGGCAAGAAGAAGGCTTCACCTAAGTCGGCTGCGAAGAATAAATCGTCCGCCAAGCCCAAGAAGTCGACGGCCTCGAAGAAGAAACCCAAATCATCCCCAAAGAAGGCTATATCATCCAAGAAGGTCAAGTCGCGAGATGTCATCGATGATTCCTTATTGGATACTGATTTGCCGGACTGGATTTCGAAGTCTCCAAAGCTGGTGAAGCTTGCTCAGCGTGAATCAGAAATTGCTGACACCGCATGTGGCTCCTGAATTCACTACCGTCAGCGCACAGAAGTGCTGGGTCAAACTCGAGCAATCGTTCCTGCCTTCACCAGTGCCTTCTAACACGGAGGTCAAGTGTACTACGATTAGCATCGCGAAATTCAGTAATTTCGTGGCTGCCGATCACCCGTGGCGGAAGCAGTGCTCCAAGTGGCCGGAGCATGCTTGTTGCTTTGATACCACTTATTTCCAGCTGAATTCTCACATTTCCCAGCGAGCTGACTACCCGGAGCAGCTGTGTGGTGTCTGACGCCGGCTACGGCGACAAGAAGTCAGCCGTGATGAGTTTTGCAATTTATGAACGCAAGCACGGGTTCTCACCAGAAGCTGTCAAGCGCTTCTTTTCCCACATGACTGCTCGTCTGGGGAAGATCAAGGATACCAAGGAGCGCCTTCGGTTCAAGTTGGCACTCGAACACTTGAAGAAAGTGTGGTTCAAGTATAACACCGAACGCGTGACCGAGCCAACAACTTGCGGACGTATCTTCCTGGCCGCATGTTGCCGTAGTGTGTTGGTCCCGACTCTCCGCTGCCGATTGTGACCCTGCTGGACACGACACCCCCCTTCTACACCATGGAGAATCTCATGTGGGTTCCCGGGCCAGCCGATTGGTGTGCAAAGGCTGGGCTGGTGGACATATCGGAGCCATGTCGTGCAGACTGGCTAGCATCACCCGTACAACGCGGTGTACGTTCCATGCAATGTTCACATGCCGCTTTTCCTTCCTGCCGGTTCGACCGTCGAAGTTCTCGGTCCACACATCGTTTCTAACCCGTCGCTGGCGCCGGAGGATATTGACTCTTCGTGGGATCGAGCTTTTCGCGGAGTCGATGAAAATGAGGAAATGGAGGAAGGTGAAGCTGGAGAGGACGACCCCTCGAATGCAGCTCTTCCTGAGTCTCCAGTTCCATCCGCCGCTGACTCCGTTGCCACCATGGACCTGGACCGAGACTCGGCTGACGACGCTTCGGCCGGACCCCGTGATGAGAAGACCGATGTTGCCTTGATCCTGCCCTTTGAGGAGTCATCTCAGTCGCCAAAGTCTGGTGTCACCACCGAAATCTGAGTTATCTGTTTGCTGTTCCCCAGTTTTGCAGAGTAGTGAATCATTCAATTCTTTCTTAATCACTTCAATTTCAATCGTATTTCGAGAAATCCATTCCATGTCCAATGCATACATTCCTGTAGCAGCAGTAGGAATTTTTGTCTGGCATTGTGAGCTGCTTTGCTTCACACCCAGTTCGTTCGTCATGATATTTTCACCTTTCAGTCCTCGTCAGCGACTTGGACCATTTGTTGACGTTGCTCGCTCTTCTTGTTCCGCAAGTAGTCATACAGAAGACCTCCACAAGACAATTTAGAGGCTGGTTCCCATGTAGTTGATTCGTATCCAACCCATTTAACCTCAAATTTGTGTACAGGTCTGTCCGTGCTGGTTGACATTGGCGTTCTGTCGTTCAGAATCGCTTCCACATCAAATTCACCTAGTTCCCAGCTGTATTCAGGCAACACCTCTTCGTCGAAATCAAATCTCGCATCCTCCGCAATATCTCGAGCTTGTCGCGTCGTCGGCCGATCGCAATACTCATTCACAGCTTTCAGTCGAGAGACGTGCACCTCCAAGTAGAAGCGATACCCACTCTTGTCCAGTAGCTTGAGCTCGTACGTGAACTCCTCGACCTTTCGCTTCACTCTGACAGGACCAGCTTTTAACTAGTCTTGGCTTCATTCGCTCCATATACAGCCGAACTCGACTTCCAGATCAGGATAGACAGTTCCGAGTCGTCGTCAGCCGAGTCATCGTTCACACTCTTTGGTATTGCAGCTAGTTCTTTACGGTTAAGTTTCTCGTTGTGAATTCTAGCAAGTCGGGCCTTCTCTGCGGCTTGGTATTCCTTTGTCATCTCGAGGGCAATCTGCTGCTGGCGGTCAATCTCTCGTCACCAGGCTAGTTCCTCAGTCTGCTTACCAACACCTCGCTTCAGAGAAGTCGTCATTGCTCGTAACGACGTATGGGCATCCCATCCATGCACCAAAAAAACGGTGCCTCTTTCATGATATAATCATAAGAGTTATTTATCGCAAAGACAAGTTCATCAGTGATCTCATCCTAGTCTTGCTGCAGTGGGCCTTCCACGTAGACGGACCGCATTACGATCTTGACCGACCGCTTTTGCTGTCCGTTTGCTTGTGGGCGATAGCTCGGCGTTGACATTGACCACGCTTGTATCCGTTCAGAGAAGGTTTGGAAGACCTGGATCATGAAGCCGGTCACGGTTGTGACGAATAAGAGACGGAGCACAAAATCGCCAGTATATGCATTCCTCGAACACCTTGGCCACAGTCAGTGCATCGGTGTCAGACATCGCTTTAGCAATCACAAACCCGATAAATGAGTCCTGCCATAACAAGAGGGCGGTGTTCCCACGACGAGATGTCGGCAGAGCGATCACAAAGTCCATTGACGGCAGAGCGATCACAAAGTCCATTGACACTACTTGGAATGGTCGCTTTGCTAGTACATTTCCAGGTGAGTAGCCTTTAAGCTGCGGCAAGCTCTTGCTTGAGGTGCAGTCGAAGCATGACTTCACATCTTTCTTCGCATCTGAGTAGAGACCGATCCAGTCGTAGTCGTGTTTTACTCTCTGGTAGGAGCTGACGACACCTTGGGGTCCTCCTTCAATGGAAACATGACAGTTGTGTAGCACTTCTTGGATCATTGTAGTTGGTACCGCAAGTCTCAACGAAATCTCGGGCAAGTTTTCATTGACCTTTCTTCTGCTCACTCCTGTATAGTACAGGACAATGTCGCTTGATAGCACAAAGTTGTCCGCCCACTTCCAGGCTTCTCAAGCCTCCTTGTAAGTCATCGTGGTGGTTTCGCCTCTCAAAATGGCTTTCAGATTCGACCACCTCAACTCTTCGTCCTAGGCCTGGGCAATACGACGTCTTCGCTCTTCTTGGACTGCGACTGGGTCAATGTCGTCGGCTGTTGGTTCGTGTTGAACATCAGCGCTTGGCCATCGCACCTGCATCGTTAAGTCGTCGGTGGATGCCTCGGTCGCCTCAGCACTAGTCGTTCCATCAGGAACGTCGTCCTCGAAGCGCACTCTTTTCTTCTTTGTCTTGGTCTGACTTCGAGTTGTAGCTCAGACCTCGGCGCATTCTTGGTGTGCAAAATCAGCAACGGTCTTGCATTGTAGCAAGGTATCTCCGTCAGGAGCATGAATATGTTTTGTAGTTCCGTCCAAGATTTGAACGAAATCCCCGGAACCCGTGTATTTCACCGTGGTGCTGTCTGAAGCCGGCTCGTAAATCATTTCTTGGATTCTATTCAACTCCTTGAGCTCTGTCTAGCGGTGGTCATTGGGCACCACCTTTGACACCTTCGACTCCAATGTTTCCCCATCGAGCGAGTCACCCGCTGCGTTGTACTCGCGCACCATATGCAGATATCGGACTGACTTGAGCTTCGCAAATGAGTTCTCGGTGGCGGCTCAGAAGTGTCACCGACGAATCCTTCCGGCATGCGATCGCCCCTACTGATTGCTGGATTGCCAGCCTCGTGTCCTTTTTTCAAAAACAAACTTGGTGATCCTAGATACTTCCATTAAAATTAAAAAATAAAGAAATAACTTCTTAATTCCTGGTAAGTAATATAAAATACTACTTCTTAGTACCTATTTACTACTGTACTACTCTAAGATTCGATCTTCAACAACAGCATCCTAGTGCTGCGACCAAACATATCTAAGGTGTTGAAAACTATGTTTCCTTTTACAGAATGTCAATTACGAATAGTACGAAGGTTGTGACATATTTCGCAATATCAGTTTGCAAATGAAGTATTTTTCTTCGTTCTTCCAAAAGCGGTAACTTACTTGCCTACTTTGCTTTAGAACCGCTCAGAGTATCTGCTGTTGTTGCTGCTTTTCATCATCCTTGACCAGGTGAACTTCGTTCATCGTGTATTGACACACTGGGAACTCGGGCCCGTTGCTCAACACCACTGGCCATATTTTCTTGTTCACACCGAAGGATGAGGCGCACTCAGTATAATTTTCCGCACCCGGTTTCACGTAGATGTTGCGCAGGATCGCTTCATCTCCCAGGTTCCCATTCATCATGACAATGCTCACGTTCGGGGAGGAGCGGTTGGTCTGGATGACCTCGAGGTCCACGTAGACATTGGACACGTTGAGGAAACGTTGGCGAGGATTGCTTTTGCAGTTGCCACACGAACGGTACAGCTTGCCAATATCTTGCGCGAAGAAACCATCGATCACAACAGTGCCATATCCATTGTGTTGGACAACCTTGTCATCCGCGAAACGAGCGCCGCAACCGATGACCGAGGACACACTTGAGGCATTTCCACCGTTAATAGTCAGAGCGTCCTCACACACGTCTTCCCACCACACGTTTTCAATTGTGCAGTCCGACATTTCGCAATGCACACCTTCCATTTGGTTCGTGCCGATGATAGCATTCTTCAGTGTGCCGCCAGGTTGGACAATAAAGACCGCCGTTGACGCGTTGCTCTCTATCTGTTCGAGACACGTAATATCGGAGCGATCGTACGTTTTCATTTTGCCGTCGAACATTTCACCCGATTTCACAACGTACACCTCGGGGAAGCTGATGTTGCCTTTGCTGATAGGCCATGTACTGTCTGGGATCGGTGCACCGAATGCAATTGAGGCGGCACCAAGCGTAAGGGTAGCAGTCGCGCTGAGAAACTGGAGCATGGCGACTAGGATGGAGTGAAGTGGAGTGGGGATTGCTTGTGGCGAAGTCGGTAAAACGAGAACTGGGATGTGGACGGCAAGTCGGTCGTTGTATACAGGTTGTACATGTAGAGGCACAAAGTTTGCTCTCGAAGTGTTGAAAGAAAGATAATCCCGTTCAACACGAAGTTTACGCAGCACAATCACGGTGATACAAACTCAAATCAACTCTCATTTGACTTAAATTTTCGGTGGTCTGATTCATATTATTTTAGCGTTCTTACTAGTATTGGAGCATCTCAGTCGCTTTGCTCCATTGAGTTGCCTTGGGGACGACAATCTTCAGTGGATTCTGCCACTGCAGGCCGCCGTCCCCATCGTTAAAAAATTGCTTCAATCTAGTAATACATAGTTGAGTGAGGTATATAGGCTATAACGGCGCGCTCATCGATGATATATGCTAGACGTCAATTAGTCAACTCTCTTTTGTGGAACTTTGCCTGGATTTTTGCCCTAAGAATTACCTGTAGGAAACTGTATCGAGGTCAATCCTAATCATTCCTGTCTCAATATAAGTAGAGCCAAGAAAATAGAGGTAATAAATAGATTAAATCAGAGTGCAAAGTGATTATAAATGGGGAATTCGTCCCCAATAACATGGCGGGATTATTTCGTTGCTATAGGAGATGTTACCGTGCTAAGTACTGTTATTTCTCAAATTGGTAGTGTGACCGTACCAAGGCTCGCAAGTGCACAGTGTAGATGCGATAATAGCAATCCTGGACTCTAGTTTCGAATCGGTACTTCTTACGAGCTGTCCGATGGCGATGCTACACATAATAGTCCAAAGAATATCGATGAAGTCCGCGACCGCTGGTATCGGTGTCGAATAGAGAGTTTGGAAAGGCAAACCATTGACAATTGGCTAGTCAACAGGGAAGACCAGTTGTTCAATATTATCTGCGATACAGTAGCTCGCTACATGTAGCTTAATTTGTTGATTTGCTGAGAGAAGTAATCATGATCGACACGAAGCTTACGCTCACAGAAATCATGATGATGCAGTGTAGAGGACCAACACCAAAGCACCAAGAACTCTCCATTTCATTCCAAATTGTCGCCGAATCTCACCCACAAATTTTCCCAGTGAAGTCGAACGCTTGGAAATGGCATTTAACATTATTCTTTAACAAGAGCTTTACAAAATATCTTCGTGAATGGCCTTGTCATTATAAGAATCGTGCATGATATCATCACGATATCATCATATCAACGCTGCTATCTAAGTCTACTGCAGGTAAGTATGGAGCATTGTTCCGTGGTGAAATGGTCATATAATTGTGTTGACGACACAACGGGAAATTTGTCGTGACGACACATTTCAGACAAAGCAGCATGGTCTCAAATCTGGAACTTTCACATATGAATTACATTTTATGACAAGTTTCGATGTATTAACATCTTCTAATACTACAAAAGGAAAATCTAAACGTATTCCTCTATATTTTCTCTTTTAGTTCGATCCAGTTTTCGTAAAATCTCAAAAACTATTTGGCGATACTAGATTTCTAAGTATTTTAATAATTTATTAAAATAAACTCTGTACCTTTGCTTGCATTGTTAAATTATAGTACTATAACACTATAGTAGTACTACGTTTTATAAAAAGGAATAGGATGTCTTCACACGGAACAGCTCTGGATTTGGTACATGTATGTTTTACCTTTGTTGGTTAGACCCGTGTATATCTTATCGCGCTTTGACAAAACCCCTGGGATAATCTGTGATTTTTGGTGCCCACGCAAAAGATGCGTGAAGGTAAACAACAGTATCATTGTGTGTGAGTACACATTGACTTCTGTATTTTTTTAATAATGATAAAGAAAAATCGCAGTGGAAGGTATCTTTATTGGTACAGCCGTGAATGATGCTCGAATGGATTAGATATTGTTTGTCAAAGGTGCAATGAGATTATAGAGGATAAATGCAATTGATATTTTATTTTGCAAAGGTTTCAGGCTGTACATGTAGAAGAGGGTAAATAATTATAAAGGTAATGCTATTAAAGCATATTTCATACAGATGAGTTAATATCCATAGATAATATAAAAATACAGTCGGTTATATGTTCTAACAGAGGAAAAGTAAGGTTACCGCATTCCCTTCAATCTCATTCTACAGGATATCTGATATAGATGCATTCTGACCTCATTGCCCCTACTACTGAAAAATATACTACGTAGTATACTACTTCGGAGTATACATTATTAATACAGTACTAATAATATAGGACTCGATGCCGTACTACAAATTTTGCTTCATTTTGGATAAACGGATGAATGACACTTCAAGCCTTTTTCAACAAACTTGTATTGTACATGCAACGTCGCTATCTTGCACCAAGTGGCAAGTGATCTATTTGTTCTACGCCTGACTAGCGGGCGACTTCACCTCGACATAGGTGGACGGCTTCGACTGTCCGCTATGGAACAACGCCTCAATGTCCTCCAGCATCATACCCTTCGTCTCAGGACAGAAGAAGTACACGAACACACCACAGATGCAGCACAGACCCGCGAACAGGAAGAACACGCCGTTGATGTT